GGCCTCGAGACCGTCGAGGAGCGACTCGGGACGAAGAGCCGGCCCCGGGGGTGGTGGTCCCGACCTCCAGGGCCCAGGTGTCGAAGAAGCTGGAGCAGCCCGATGCCCAGAGCAGGGCAGGGGAGAGTGCGGGGGGAGGGAGAGAGAGAGAGGGGGGGGGGAGCGGCAGCGTTCTTCGACGGCGCGCGGGCTGGGCCCGTTTCCCACTGCATCTGCTCGAGCGCCCGGCGGCCGCAGCGGCGCTGGTCATCCGATGGGCCTGTCCCCCTCATCTGCCTCCTCCTCCACCCCCATCCTCCTACCGCCGCTCTCCATTCTCTTCTGCCTCAACCATCCCTCCTAATTCAGCGCCCTCCTCCTCCTCCTCCTCCTCCTCCTCCTCCTCCTCCTCTTCCGCATCCCTCCTCGTTCTCCTCACCCTCCCGTGGGTGCTCACCCTCCCTCCTCCCTCCCTTCTCTTCGCCCCACTCCCGCCTCTCTCCTCCCGCCCCCGCTAATTACCTGATGCCCCCTTGGGGTTCTCAGCAGATCCGGCAGTGTCGTCCAAGACGGGCTGGTCTAGCAGCTCAGAGCTCCATGAGCTGCATCTCGAAGAAAAAATTGCATAAACATACACGGTTGGCGCTCCACGATGATTTCTTGGAACCGCGCTGGGCCCCCCCCCGCCAAAAGTTTATGTTAGAGCAGATGATTATTCTTCTAGTATGGTACCGTATCGTATCGTATCGTATCCTCCCGCTCCCCTCGTCGTATCCTCCCGCTCCCCTCGTCGGAATATCAGCGCCTGCGGCGAGCTCGTTGTATAATTTGTGAAAGAGTTGCGCCTGCGGCGGGCTTCTCCAGAGTCTCGCAGACTGCCGACGTCCTCACCGCCCCCTCACTCTTATCCGCGTCTGCAGGGTGCGACGTATTCTCCCGCTCCCCTCACCGGAATAGAGAAGCTGACACCGCCCTGGCCGGCGCTGTTTTGCCAGACCTCCGGGAGCGCCGCCGCCGAGGTGGTGTACTGCCACGCCAACGCGGGCAGCCGCCTGGAGGCGCAGGACAGAGGGGGCGGGTCGCGAGGGGGAGAGGGAGGAGGAGGAGGAGGAGGAGGAGGAGGAGGAGGAGGAGGAGGAGGAGGAGGACGTCGCGGGCCCCGTGACCCCCGCCTCCCTCTTCTTCTGGTTGCCCTTAAGGCTCCCTTTGCGCCCTGGAGGCCTCTATCCCCTCTTGCTCGGCGGGGGTTTCCGCGGGTGCCCCTTGGCCGTTTCTGTTTCTGGAGGCCCCCACTCTGAGGCTCTCCCGAGGCTTTCGGACGTCTTCGAGGTCGGGGGAGGCTCCATGTATGGCGCCGCGCGGCGGGCGCGGCCGCGCACACGCGGCGCGGGCTTCGGCGGAGAGAGCGGCCTTGCGCCCGCCCTGCGTAGGAGGAGGAGGAGGAGGAGGAGGAGGAGGAGGAGGAGGAGCAGAACCAGTGCAAGCCCAAGAAGCATCGACGATGCTGCAGTAAGCCCTGACTTCAAGCTCCCTCATCATGGTCTCTACACGAATTGGTCTTTGCGAGAGCTGCCCCATAAGAAGACAACGCTTGAAAATTCCCAATCGTGCCGAAACACCATTCCTGGGAATTCAACGCCGCGAGTCAGCGTGACGGTTACGCGCTGGAAATCCGAAATCGTGTCAGAACATGTTTCTGGGATTTCAACACCTCGAACCACTTATGCTACGGCGTCTTGACAATTCTAAATCGTGCCCGAGAGCAAATCCCGGGAGTTTAACCATACGAATACACGAAGCCTTCCAAGTTGTTAAACGAATGTGCGCGGCGCTACGGCGTGAGCCACATTTTGAGAGCCGCCACCCACCCGTACATTGCTGCAAACGTTTAGGACGACTGTTCGCGGCACTAAGGCGAGGGCCACATCGTGAAATCCACCCGCCCTCCATCCTTGACGCCGTTGCAGAAATTGAAGACGAGTGCGCGCGGCGTTATTACGAGAGCCACCTAATGAAAAGGACCTACCCACAGTCCTTGCAGCTGCTACGAACTCTCGAGACGAGCGTGCGCGGCGCCACGCGAGAGCCACCCGCCCTCATCCTCGAGGCTGCGTCAAGCGTTTGAGACGAATGTTGTCGCGACGCTGCGGCGAGAGCCACGTGTTGAAGACGACCCGCCCTCCATCCTTGAAGCTGTTGTGAAGTTCGAGCATCAGGGGCATACACGGTGCGGAAACACTGCGTATCGGGCGGAACGCCCAGCCCCCGGCCTACCACAACGTCTGGGGTTGCGACAGGGAGGAGCTAGTTAGTTGTCAGGGAAAGGGATGGAGGATGAGGACGATGCTGAGGACGAGGAGGAGGAGGAGGAGGCCGAGGAGTCGGAGGAGGAGGAGGAGGAGGAGTCTGAGGAGGAGGAGGAGGAGGAGAGGGAAGGAGAAGGGGGGAGGAGGGGGGGAAGGAGGAGGAAGAGCAGCAGCAGCATCAGCAGGAGTAGGAGGACGAGGATAATGGGGAGGAGGGAGGAAGAGGAGGTTGAGGAGGAGGCGAGCAGGGGAGGGGGGGAAGGAGGAGACGGTTCTCGAGGGCGGGGGGCGACATGGGGTCACAGGGGGTCCACGTGCGCGGTTCTGGGGGAGCTGCAGGCTGAGTTCTGCGATCTTCCGATGGGCTTCCGCCCAGGCTGCCCACGACTTGCTCGATCTGATGGTGCGTGTCGATGTGTGCGCGCGCACATCCAAGGGCGACACCCCGTCCTCCGTGGACAGGGCTAAGATTGGTAGACGACATCATGCAAACGCTTCGGCCGATCTGCTGCGAAGGGCTTTTCCTCCTCCTCCTGCTCCTCCTCTTCCTCCTCCGCCTCCTCTTCCTCCTCCTCCACACTTACTCGGCATGAGTACGACCTTTTCTCTCCCCTGAACGTGGCCAGGGAGTGGCCTGCCCCCCTCCGCGTATTTGTTTGCATTGGTTTTTTACTCCGGATTTCAATCGCATGTCTTTCTTATGATTGTTTTCAATCGGAGCGTTTTCGGTTTCAACATGGTGTTCCCGCTGCAGCTTTGGCCTCATATTTGGATCGGCTTTTTGCTTCCATCGATCAGTATGGCGCATGTTTTTGTATCCGAGTGTGTCTTCATCGTTGTCGCCCCGCTCATTCCCCCCCCCGCCTTAACCTGGTCATCCTGCTCGTCCCGTTTCTCCCACTCCTGCTCCTTTTGTTGCTGTTCTTCCTCGTCGTCCTCCTTGCTCATCCTCCTCCTTTTCCTCCTGCATCCCCCTGCTCATCTCCACCTCCTCCCATGTACGCAGCTCCCCTTGTGTGCTTGCGCATAACACGAGGGGGTCCCTTTGGGGATGACAAGTCTGCTATGACACTCGTCAGCGGATCTACTACAGAAGCAGCACAGTGCGAAAGGATGGGTGGGATGGGTAGGATGCCCGCGCGAGCCTAGAGTGTCCTTCCCTCTCTCTCTCCTCCTCCTCCCTTCTTGCTTTGGTTCTGCGGTTGACAGTAAGTCCGAAGGAAACCTTTCCTGACATGAACGGGAAGCGCGTAAAAGAGAGGAGCTGTGCAAGAACGTGCAGCATCATCACGATGAACCGTAATGTGGGCGAGCTCCCCGAACGTCCACAGGGGATATCTATGGACGCGCGCTCCCCGAACGTTGCCAACCCTGTTCCTGAATATCCTACGAACGTCTTCTATACGGCTTGGCGCTTTTAACCAGAGTCGCTCTTTGAACCGAACCGTTACCATACGACGACGACGACGACGATGACGACGACGACCACCACGACGATGACGATGATGATGGAGACAGATATACCACAGGTCGGCTGGAGACAAACACCCACAAAAGATACCAGGTGGAGTTCACTACCCGCGCGAGTTCAGACGTGGCGCGGACAGGAGAAGAAGGAGGAAGAGGAGGAGGAAACCTGATGGTATCGAGGACCCGTCCGAAGGCAATGTTTGGAGGCTGTCTCGAGCGAACTGGTTTTCACAAAACTGTTGGAAACCATGGGTTTTTCAATAATTCAGCCTTCGAGGGCCCGTCCGAATGCATGTTTTGGAGGATGTCTCGAGCGAAACGCTCATCGTTCAACAAAGCTATTAAAACCCATAGATGTATCAAGAATGTCGCGTCTTGGGCAATCTTGGAGGTTATCCGAGATCGCTCCGAAAAGATGCCTTACAAAAGCTCTTGGCGCATCACATTTGTTCGAGGATGTCTCCGGCGAAACACTCAGTTTCGGGAACCCGAAAATTGGACGAGCGATTTCAAGATCTCCTTTATTGGAGGATGTCTCGGGCAAAATCGCCATTGTTGGCATAAAACGCCTTGAACGACATCCTACAAGATCCCGATGCTGTGAGGGTATCTCTAGCGAAACGCCACCCTTTTTCAAACTTTCCTGACATGAACGGGAAGCGCGTGAGGGAAGGGTTGCGCAAGAATTTGCAGCACCTCCGCGATCGAATATAATATAGGCGAGCTCTCCGAGCCCCAACAAAGGATACGTACGGACACGCGCCCCCCGAACGTTCACAAGCATCGTCCTGAGTATCCTCCTCACTCCTCCGCATGAGGAGGAAGAGGATGAGGAGGAGGAGGAGAAGGAGGAGCAGGAGGAGGCGAAAGAGGAGGAGGAGGAGGAGGAGGAGGAGGAGGAGGGGGAGGAGGAGGAGGAGGAGGAGGAGGAGGAGGAGGAGGAGGAGGAGGAGCAGCCGCAGCAGCAGCAGGAACAGAGGGTGAGGAAGGGGCGGGATGGCGAGGAAGAGGAGGAAAAGGAGCAGGAGGACGAGGAGGAGGACGAGGCGGAGGAGAAGGAAGGAGAAGGAGGAAGAACGGGAGGAGGAGGAGGAGGAGGAGGAGGAGAAGCAAGATCAGGAGGAGGAAGAGGAGGAGGAGGAGGAGAATGAGAAGGAGAAGGAGAAGGAGGAAGGGGAGGAGGAGAAGGAGGAGGAGGAGGAGGAGGAGGGGGAGGAGGAGGAGGGGGAAGAGGAGGAGGAGGAGGAGGAGGAGACCAGATGGTTGTGAGTGCCCGTTCGAAGGCAGTTTGTGGTGGGATGTCTCGAGCGAAACGCTGATGGTTAAACGAAAGGGTAAAACGCCCACGGGTACTTCAATACGTTCGCTTCTTGGGCCATCTTGGAAGTCATCCGAGATCGTTCCGAACAGATGTCTGGAATCATCTCTTTCAGCATCCCCATGGTTTCGAGGATGTCTCATGCGAAACGCCCATTGTTGGAGGTCCGTGGATTAGACCAACGAGCTTAACATCACCATTGCCAGGGGATGTCTCAGGCGAAACGCCCATGTTTAGCATAAGACGTCTTACGATGCGATCCCAAACTTCGGGAGTTGGCGAGGATGTCTCACGCGAAACGCTCATTTGTCAAGCCTTTCTTGACATGAACGGGCCGCGCGTGAAATCAAAGAGCTTGGCAAGACCGTGCACCCACATCAAGTTCGCATGTCGCGTAGGCGCTCTTCCCGAACGTCCACAGGGAGTACCAGGTGGACTTCGCTATCCGCGCAAGTTCAGACGTGCCGCTGACCCGAACGCTTGCAAAAAGAACCAGATGGAGTTCACGATCCGCGCAAATTCCGACGTGCCGCTCACCCCGAACGTCCACAAAGGATACGAAATTGAATTCACCATCCGCGCAACTTCAGTCACCGCTCACCGCGAACGTCCACAAAAGATACCAGGTGAAGTTCACTACCCGCGCTAGTTCAGACGTCGCGCTTACCCCGAACGCCCACAAAAGATACCAGGTGGAGTTCACTACCCGCGCGAGTTCAGAAATCGTTGGAGGATGTCTCGAGCGAAACGGTTTGTTTTTTTAACAAAACTATTGAAACCCAATGGGTTTTCCAATATTTTCGCCTCCGAGGATCCGTCCGAAGGCAATGTTTGGAGGATGTCTCGAGCGAAACGCTCCTCGTTAAACAAAACTGTTTAAAACCATTGTTTTTTCAATAATTTCGCTTCTTGGGCAATCTTGGAGGTCATCCGATATCGCCCCAAAAAGATGCCTTAGAAGAGCTCCTGATGCATCCCATTTGTTCGAGGATGTCTCAGGCGAAACGCCCATTTTCAAGGATCCGAAAATTAGGCGAGCGATTTCAAGATCTCCATTTTGGGAGGATGTGTCGGGCGAAACGCCCATGTTTTGCAAAATACGTCTTAAGCTACGACCCCAAAGTTCACGATGTTGCGAGGATGTCTCAAGCGAAACGCTCGTCTTTTTTTAATCAGCCAGGCCTGAATCAGAGAGCAACGCCGAGGCTTTCCCCCCTCAAACTCCCCCCAGTTGATAAATTTCCCTCCGGGTCCGCACCAATGTCCATCGCGAGACTTTTCGAGTCTCAGCGCGCTTCCCGTCATCCGCCATCTCTTCTACGTCCTCCTCCCATTTTCCCCCTCCCCTGAACCCTCGTCCTCACCGTTCCTTTGGTCCTGGCATAGCCCACGGAGGTCCATCAATCTATACACAATCATATTCTGGCCGATTGCATAGTCTCTACGTTTGTTTCCCGTTGTTTCATTCATCATCTAGCCATCCTCTTCATCCTTCCTCCTCCTTTTTCTTCCTCCTCCCCCTGACCCTCCTCATCCTCCCCTCCATCTTCCCTGCCTGTCTCCCTCCCCTCCTCCTCCTCCTCCTCCTCCTCCTCCTCCTCCTCCTTCTCCTCCTCGTCCTCCTCCTCCTCCTCCTCCTCCTCCTCCTACTCCCTCCCTCCCTCCCTCCCTCCCTCCCTCCCTCCCTCCCTCCCCCCTGCCCTCCTCCTCCTTCTCATCCTCCTCTCCCTTCTCCTCCTCCTCCTTCTCCTCCTCCTCCTCCTCCTGCTCCTCCTGCTCCTCCTCCTTGTGCACGACTAAACAGAAAATTTAGACACGCACCATAGGGTTCGTTCGTTGCTCCTCCTCATATTCCCTGCGTCAGGAGGTTCTGGGCTGGGCGCTGGAGCTGGGGTGCTCGGTATTCGCCTTCGACTTCGCGGGCTCCGGCATGTCGGAAGGTGGGCTTGGCGGGATCGCGACGACGATGGCGGCGGCGAGGGCAGCAGCGGTTTCAATGGCAGCGGCGACGACAGCGACGCGGACGACGGCAATGACGATGGCGATGACGAAGACGACGATGACGACGACGACGACGACGACGACGACGACGACGACGACGACGACGACGACAACGATGACGGTGACAGTGACGGTGACGGTGACGGTGACGATGACTACCACCACCTCGATGACGACGAGATGGTTGCGAGATGCTGGAGTGCCGATCACAGACGAGTGGACCTTCGCCGCGCGCGCTGGAGCGAGCGATTTCGACGGGCCGATCCAGGCCGTGCACTCGCTGCCGCGCGTGTGTGCGTGCACGGCTGCTGTGCGCTCCGGAAGAGGCAGGGCCGTTTTCTGTCGTTCACGAGAACATGACGATTGCAACAAAATACAAACATGCTACCAGAAACTACTACCGGTTGGCGTACCCAACCCTTTTTCTCACATGGGGCAGCTATATGAAAGACCGCTCAATACAAACGAACATGATGAAAGACGCGCACTTCGCAGCCCCCCAGGGAACCGCAAGGTCTCGGCTGGGTCCACGTGGACCTCTACTCCACTGGATTTTTCAGGAGCACACGGAATGCGCGACACTTGCGCGGTTCGGGAGCTGCGAGGTCTCGGCAGGTCCGCGTGGACCTCCATTCCGCTGGCGAGGACGAGAAAGGTGGAGGTCAGTGGACGTTGAGACGAGAGATGACGACAGATGGAAAGAGCCGAAGAGCTAGGGCAAGATACGCAGCTAGACAGTGATGACGATATGTGATGGCTTCTGGGAAATGCAGTTCGGTTGTAACATCCAACGAACAGCTGGATACGGCGGCGGCGCCGGCGATCACACCGTCTCGACATGTTTTGCAGAGAGAGACGGGGGCGGACAGGAAAAAAAAAAAAGGTGAGCACGTCTCGCTCGGATGGTACGAGCAGCTTGACCTCCAGGCCGTCATCGAGTACCTACGGAGGACCTCATCGCGCCACGCGGACGACGAAGAGACGGAGTAGGAGGAGGAGGAGTGAGAGGTGGACGAGAGAGAGGATGGGAAGAATAGCGACGACGAGCAGGAGGAGGTGAAGGGGGAAGAAGAAGAAGAAGAAGAAGACGACGAACATGACCCTCATTCTCTACATCCCTTTCCTTGCTCCCTCCGTGCGGGTGGATGAGGGGAAGGGGGAGCCAGGAGAGGAGGAGAAGGCGAAGGAGCAGCAGCAGCAGCTGGAGCAGGAGGAAGAGCAGGGGGAGGAAGAGGAGGAGAAGCAGGAGGAGGAAGATGAGGGGGGGGACGAGGAGGAGGACGAGACCGAGGACGAAGAGGAGAAGGGTATGTTAGCATGCTTCTCCCTCTGTGGCCCCAAGGAGCGCAGTCCACGCAAAAAATGCAGATCCGCTTTGGAATTTGGGCCAGAATGCGCGTCAGGGGGGGCGGTCCAGGGTCAATTTCGAAGTGGAAAGGGAAAGAAAGAAAGGGAACACAGAGAAGGAGGAGGAGCAGGAGGAGGAGGCGGATGAGACGGGAGGAAGGAGGGACGGTGGCCAGACAAAAAGTGTCCACCCCAATGGCGCGAATAACATATCACGTGATGTTGCGCAACATCTTGCGTAACGTATGTCCCGCCCCCATCCTCCCGAAGCCCAAGGTTGAAGTGTCCACATGTTGTCCTCCGCGCGTTGCCTCGCGCGCACCCCGGTCAACTTTGGGTCTGGGAGGGGGGGGGGCTGCCGATTCATTAGATGCACTTCGCCGTGTCGTTGTCTTGGCGCGATGGGCGTGGACACTTTTTGTCCCCCCACCGTGTTCGCAAGACCTGCTCAGTTGGTTCTGCAGTTGGCGCACGCTGTTTTGTGTGTTGAAGACACTGGTGATGGTGTTGTGGATCGACGATGTTGGTAGTGAGGTTAATGATGTTGGATTTGATGTAGATGTCGGCGATGTTGATTCGGGGGCATCATGTTAACGATGTTGATGAACTCGGTGGTGTGGGTGGTTAACGGTGATGGTGATGTGGCTGATGATGCTGGTGATGGTGATACTCATGTTGGTGATAGCGAGACTTACGATGGCACTGATGATGTTAGTGAAACTGGGGATATTAGGAATGACGTTGGTAAGGTTGGCGGTGATGAGTTGCCTGATGTTGCCGTTGGTGGTGGTCATGATGTTGAGGATGTGGATGATGATCATGATGATAAAGGCGAAGGTGGGGACGTCAATCATGTTGATGGTGGTGTCGAGGGTGTTGGCCTCGATGACGCTAATCGTGTTCAGGTGATCGTGTTGGTCAAGACCGCGGATTTCCCCACAACTGCCGCGTTGGCCATTGGGGGAGGGGGGGGAGAAACGAGAAAAGAAGGAGAGGGGGGCGTAGGAGAAAAAAGAAGAAAGGGTATAGCGTTTCCATAGCGCCCCTGGCGGTCGACGGGCGAGAGCCCGTCGGGGAGACCGACCTTGTCAGAAGCGGGGCTGCGGGGAACGGGCACAGGGCTAGGGGGGAGCTTCTTCCCGCTGGCTGCCATCTGTGGCGCCAGCGCGCCCAAGCGAACGTCGTCCCTCGCGGGGACGTCAGCGTTGACATTCACGCTACTCGCTGAAACTCACGACGGCACTCGTATATCACTTCCGTGGAAAACTGTGGTTTGGGATGGTACTCGTGGATGTTCGGGATGTGTATATATATACACACACATGCATTCAAAACTGCGACGAGTAATATTTCCACGTAGCACCCAACAGTTGCGGATAAGAGTGAGGGGGCGGCGCGGACGTCCGCAGTCCGCGATGTTCTGAAGAAGCCTGCCGCAGGCGCTTAACTTTCACAACTCGCCGCAGGCGCCCATTTTCTCGTTAAAGCAATGTGGTTGGGTCGCGGGGTGGGTCGCGGGAGGGTCGCGAGTGGGTCGCGGGTGGGTCGCGGGTGGGTCGCGCGACGGGGCGCGGGTGGGTCGCGTGTGGGTCGCGTGTGGGTGGGTCGCGGGTGAGTCGCGGGTGGGTCGCGGGCGGGTCGCGGGGTGGGTCGCGGGGTGGTCGCGGGTGGGTCGCGGGCGGGTCGCGGGGTGGGTCGCGGGGTGGTCGCGGGTGGGTCGCGGGTCGGGTAGCAGGTGGGTCGCAGGTGGGTCGCGGGCGGGTCGCGGGCCGGGTCGCGGGGGGGACGACAACAAACAACAAACACAAGCAGCAACAACAACAATAATAACAACAACAGTCATGTTAAGATTGTTCGCTCTTACTGACACGCGTGTCTTGTATTCTGCATACCAAAACCCTCGATACCCGCCCACTTCGTCTTCGATCGCATCCCCTTTCGGGGGGAATGTCTATCTTGTTGGCCACTGACTGAAGTACGAGGAACTCTCGAGCGAGAGCGCCGTTCCTGAATTTTGGGGCCTTTCTGGCCAGGGACTCTCGGAATACATATTGAGAAAAGGACCAGAGGAAAACCCTTATCAGTGGATGGTTTTCGCCGAGGAGATCGACCAGGAACCCGGGAGCCCGGGAACCCAGAACCCACCGAAATCGGCCCGGAACCAATAACCGGGAACCCGGAACCGGGAACCGGGGAACCCAGCTTGCTACCAAAAACGGCCGGAAACTTTCGCCAAATCTTTCAATTTCTGCTAGGACCCCTTCAGTGCAAGCACTGGTTGGGTAAATATCGAACGGGAGCCCTTGTCGCAAGGTCTGCGCCTCCACCAACTTGCCAGACTTGTGAGAAAGTATCGAGCGAGAGCGCCACGCTTGAGTTCGGGGGTCTCTCTGGCCAGGGCCTCTGGGAAAACAGATTGAGGAAGTATCGAACGAGAGCCCTTGTCGTCGTAGTTGGCCTCCCCCAATCTGACGGAATAACGAGAAAGTCTCGAGCGAGAGCGCCGTTCCTGAGTTCGGGGGCCTTCCTGGCCAGGAGCTCTCAGAGTAAATCGTGAGGAAGGACCAACAAAGAGCCCTTGTCGTCGTGGCTGGACCTCCGCCAACTTGACCGAAGTGCGAGGAAGTCTCGAGCGAGAGCGACGTTCCTGAGTTCGGGGCCTCTCTGGCCAGGGTGTCGCGAAGTAATGTGTAAGAAAGTGTCGAGCGGGAGCCGTTGTCGTGGAAGCTGGGCCTCCAAGGGCACACATTTGCAATCAAGCCCACGCTCGAGCGGGAGCTTCGTTTTCTGAGGAACTGCAGCCGACATCGAGGCGAGAGCGCGCGGAACCGCTTCCAGAGACCAACAATAGTTATTCTCGATAAGTGAGTTAGCAACAACAGCAACAACAACAACAATCATGTTAAGACTGTTCGCTCCTATTTGCTCACGTGCTAATCAATACGTGTATCCCAAACCTTCGGTACCCGCCCTCGTCGTTTTCGATCGTACCCCCTTGGGGTATGTCTTCCTTACCTGCCACGCGCAATTAGTGCAGCCCCTAAAACAAGGGAAGAGAAGACGGGTGGAAGGGGAAGGGAGAATGGATCACGAGAGAAATTAGCAGGACAGGGGCAAGGAGCAGAAAACACGTGGCAGATCTGTTGGGCAGATCCATAGCGGGCAGGTCGGGAAGGCGGGTCCAGGCGACCAGGTCGAGCAGGCGGGTTGCTGAAGCGTGGGTCCTGCATGAATCGCGAGGAAGTCTCGAGCGATAACGCGATTCCCAAGTAAATCGCAGGGAAAGCCAAAGCCAGAGCGTGATTCCTGAGCGCTGAGGGCGCATCATCTGAGTAAATTGCGAGGAAGTCCCACGCGAGAGCGCGATTCGTATACAAATTGTCAGGAAATCCCCCGCGAGAGCGCGACTTGGGAATACATTGTGAGGAAGTATCAAGCGGGAGCCGTTGTTGTTGTAAGCCGGGGGCCAACAACCCAGTTTGAGCCCCGTGATGTTCCCTGATCTTGTCGTTTTAAAGAAGAAGAAGAAGAAGAAGAAGAGTAATAATAATAGTAACAGTTAAAAATAGACTAATGAACACAATAACGTGCGAGCCTCGGGAGAAGCACTTCAATTGAAAATTACAATGGTCACCAGAGGGGGGATCAGCAATAAGTATTTCTCAGCCGTGCGAGTTCAATAACAACAACAATAACAGCAGCAGCAGCAACAACAACAGCAGCAACAACCACAGCAACAATAACAGCAACAACAGCAACAACAACAACAACAGCAACAGCAACAGCGACAACAACAGCAATCATTGTAAGACTGGTCGCTCTCATCTGCTCGCGAGCCACTCAACACGTATTTCCCAAACCCTCGATACCAGTTTTCATCGTCTTCGATCGTACCCCCTTGGGGATATACTTGTCTTACCTGCAACGTGTATTTCGTGCAGCCCCTACGGCAGGGGAGGAGAGGACGGATGAAAGGAAGTGACAAGGGGGAGGGAGGAGGATGGAGCACGAGAGGAATCAGATGGAGGGGGGCAAGGAGCAGAAAACACGTGGCAGAACCAGACGGGCAGATCGGGTGGGCAGACCCAAAGCGGGTAGGTCGGGAAGGCTGGTCCAGGCGACCAGGTCGAGCAGGCGGGTTGCTGAAGCGTGGGTCTTACACGAATCGCGAGGACATGTCGTGCGATAGCGCGATTCCCAAGTAAATCGTGAGAAAAAGCCAAAGCCAGAACGTGATTCCTGAGTGCCGAGGGCGCATCGTCTGAAAAAACTGCGAGGAAGTCCCACGCGAGAGCGCGATTCGTATACAGATTTTGAGGAAGTCTCGCGCGAGGGCGCGATTTGGGAAAACTTGTGAGGAAATACTGGGCGGGAGTCGCTGTTGTTGCAAACCGGGGTCAACAACACAGTTTGAGCTCCGTGATTTTCCCTGATCAAAACAGGGTGCGAGCCCCGGGGGAACCACTTCAATTGAACAATACAATGGTCACCGGAGGGTGGGGATCAACATTGATCATGCTTCAGTAGTGAAGGTTCAACAGCAACGACAACAGCAACAGCAATAACAGCAGCAGCAGCAACAACAATCAGGTTTATTTCGTTCGTTAATATATGCTCGCGTGCCACTCAACACGTATTTTCCAAACCCTCGATGCACGCCCTCTTCGTTTTCCATCGTACCTCCTTGGGGGTATCTCTGTTTTAGATTGCATCGCGTATTTCGTGCAGCCCCTACGGCAGGGGAGGAGAGGACGGATGGAAGGAAGTGACCAGGGAGAGGGAGGAGGATGGAGCACGAGAGAGCGAGTAGAAGGAGGGGGGCTCGGAGCAGAAAACACGTGGCATAACCAGACGGGCAGATCGGGCGGGTAGACCCTAACAGGCGGGTCGGGAATGCCGGCCCAGGCGGCCAGGTCGAGCAGGCGGGTTGCTGAAGCATGCGTCCTGCACGAATCGCGAGGAAGTCTCTAGCGATAGAGGCATTCCCAGGTACATCGTGCAGAAATCCACTGCGAGAGCGTGGTTCTTGAGTGTCGAGGGCGCGGCGTCGAAACAAATTGCAAGAGAGAGTCCCACGTGAGAGCGCGATTCCAGTACACATTCTCAGTGAGTTGTTGTTTCGTGGAAAAAATATCCGGATGTCCCGCGCCTGAACGCGATGTGGAAATACACTGCGAGGAAATATCAAGCGGGAGCCGTTTTTGTTGTAGCCAAGGGGTCAGGGGCAAAGATTGGTGACACTTCCTTTTCTCTTGAAGAAAAACAGAGTGCGAGCCCAAGGAGAAGCACATTGATTGAAAAATGCAAAGTTTACTGGGCAGGGGGGATCAACAATAGGTGTTTTCAGAGATGAGAATTGAACAGCACTAACAACGTTAACAACAACTACAACAACAATAACAGCAGCAGCAACAACAGCAGCAACAGCACGAACAACAGCATCAGCAACACAAACAAGCAACAACAACAACCACAACCACAACCACAACAACAACAAAGCAGCAGCAGCAACGGCATCGACACAATGATAACGACAACGACGACCACGACGACGACACCGACAGCAACAACCACAACAGCAACACGAACAACAACAGCAACAACAACCATGATTTAAAGACTGTTCGCTCTTATCTGCTCGAGTGCCACGCAACGTGTATTTCCCGAACCCTCGATACCCGCCACCGTCGTCTTCGATCGTACCCCTTTTGGGGGGTATATCTTTCCTCCCTGCAGGCCGGGCCCCGGCACCTTGCGGGGCGGCCGCGGACCGTCGGCCGGGCCAGCTGCAGCGCTGACCGGCAGCAACCCGACCCCAAGAGGGACGGACACGGGACGGACTACGACGACGACGACCACGACGACGACGACGACGACGACGACGACCACGTCGACGACGACGACGACGACGACGACGACGACGACGACGACGACGGCGACGACGGCGACGACGACGGCGACGACGACGACGACGACGACGACGACGGCGGCGGCGGCGGCGGCGGCGACGACGACGACGACGAGCGAAAGCGAGAGCGAGAGCGAGAGCGAGAGCGAGGAGAGTGACAGCGGGGCCACGAGGGGCAGGAAGGGGGCCACGAAGGGCCACAGCGGGGCCACGAAGGGCATGCGCATGGGGCCACAGAGGGCAACGACGGGGCCACTGAGGGTAGCAACGGGGTCACGTAGGACAGCCGGGGAGCCACGAAGGGCGACGGCGGGGCCACGAAGGGCACGCATATGGGGCCACGACGGGCGCGGGCTTGCATGTATTGGGCCGCAGAGGGCCAGGACGGGGCCACTGAAGGCAGCAACGTGGCCACGATGGACAGCGAAGGGGCCACGAAGGGCGACGCGGGGCCACGAAGCGCATGCACATGGGGCCACGACGGGCACGAACGAGCGGGGGCCACGAAGGGCATGCATATATGGGGCCATCGACGGGCAGCGAGGGGGCCACAAGGGATGCTACGGGGCCACGAAGGGCAGCGAGGGGGCCACGAAGGGCTGCAACGGGGCCACGAAGGGTAGGAAGGGGCCACGAAGGGCTGCAACGGGGTCACGAAGGGCAGCGAAGGGGCCACGAAGGGCTGCAACGGGGCCACGAAGGGCAGCGAGGGGGCCACGAAGGGTTGCAACGGGTCTACGAAGGGCAGCAAGGGGGCCACGAAGAGCTGCAACGGGGCCACGAAGGGCAGCGAGGGGGCCGCGAAGGGCTGGAACGGGTCCGCGAAGCGCAGCGGGGGGTCCACGAAGGGCTGCAATGGGGGGGGGGCCACGAAGGGCAGCGAGATCCAGATTCCGAAGCAGTTAGTTGTGAGGGGGTCCTAAGCGTGAGCGCGACTCCTGGGTGCCTGAATGTCGGGAGTTCTGCGCTCTCTATTGCGGGGAATTCCATTGCAAAGACGCGATTCTTGAGTAAATTGCTAGCGAGTTCCAGCGAGAGCGCGATTCCAGAGCGCCGAGAGCGATTCCTGAATAAATTGTAAGGATGTCCCAAGCGAGAGCGCGATTCCTGAGTAAAATGGGAGGAAGTCTGAGGCGGGAGCGTGAGTCCTGGCTAAACTGTGGGGAAATATGGGGCGGGGGCCGTTGTTGTTGTAAGCCGGGGGCCAGGGGCGCAGTTTGAGCCTAGCGAGTTTCCCTGATCAGACAAAAAGGTGCGAGCCCCGGGGGGGGGCACTTCAATTGAAAAACACAATGGTCACTGGAGGTGGGATCAATCATATTTATTACTCAGTAGTAAAAGTCGAAAAAATGCAGCAACAACACCAACAACAACAGCAGCAACAACAACAGCAACAATCCGAACCGCAGCCCCCTCACCCCGGCCACGCGCCAAGGAACAGCGAATGACCGCTCGGCCCCCTCACTCTGGCCACAGGATCCTACACGAGCCACGCACGAGCGACATCGCGAGCTCTGCCAAGTGCCATCGGCAGCCCCGCGGCAAACTGGGCAGGCCGCGCCAGCTTCGCGCAAACCCCCGCGGTGTGGGCGAGGGGCGGCGGCCTGGAGGCGCGCGGGCGAGTGCGCGCGAGCCCGCGGAGGGCCCTCGCTGGTTCTTCAAAATGTATCATGGTATGTTACGCGCTGTCTTATAAGCAATGCTATTTTTTAAACATTCAAGACGTCCGTTCTTTATTTCTATGCCATAAATAATATTAGTGTTAGATTCATTTGCAGGAAAAGCTCGGCGCTTCTCGCGGCCAGCAGCGCGTTGCAGCGCCGGTTTGTGGACCTCGCCCGCAGCTCCAAGGTGGTCGTTGGGCCGCGCGCGAGCGGGCGCCTCAGGCGTTCGAGGCAGCCTGCCCTGTTCTCCTTGTCGGAGAGGGGGGACCTTAGCCTCCTGGTTCGCTGATCGTGGACCAGAATTAAGACGGGCGTGTCCCTCTACAGGAGAGATATTCCAAATAGTCAAAAAATAGTCCGGAGACGAGTTGTTGATTTGTTTGTCAATTTGGGAGCATCTTTTTAAAGAACTGTTCATGTTTCCTCCAAACTCTGCATGTTGGGGCGACATGCCCGACCGAAGACCAGAAGCCGAAGTACAGCAGGTTCGGATCCGGGCTGCGCCTCGGGAGTGGAATGCGCACCCCGCCCCCTTCCTGGCCTGACGGCGACGCGCCCGCACGCGTGCCGATCATGGGTGGTTTAGCAGAGGCGCGGTGCGCCACCTCCACCGCTGCGGCACCACAGCAGTGCCCCCCGTGGAGTCCGCGACGGTGCGCGAGCGCGAAGGCGGCTACAACGACGGCGGCGGGGGCGCTTCGATCTGGGACACTTTCACCGGCGCGAACCGTCGTCGTCGGGAGATCTGCGGCTTGAGCCAAATGGCGGTGGGTCAGCAGGCCTTAGTTGTGTAGTGGTCCCGTGGGTTGCCCCGTGGCTGTTCCGTGTGGGTTGCCCCGCGGTTGCCCCGCGAGCGGTCCCGTGGGTCGTTCCGCGGGGGGTCGGGTTGTCCCCTCCTGTGCCCCACGGGTACCCAACGGGTCCACATGCGTGCGCACAGGCGTATGATTGTGCGCATGCGAGAGCGCATGCCTTGAAGCGCATGCATTCCTGCATGCATGTTGGTACCCACGAGTCACTTTCAAATCTAGACGGGACGGTGGCCAGAGAAAAAGTGTCCACACCAATGGCGTACATACCATATCACATGATGTTGCGTAGCATCTTGCATAATGTGTGTCCCTCCCCCCGAAGCCCAAAGTTGAAGTGTGCACATGTTATCCTCCGCGCGTTGCCTCGCGTGCACTCCAGTCAACTTCTTTGGGTCCACAGGGGGGGGTTGCCGATTTGTTGGGTGCACTTCGCCGTATCGTTGTATTGGCGAGATGGGCGTGGACACGTTTTGTCCCACCACCGGAGGGGAGGGGTGCGAGGGGGACGGGGGCGAGGGGGGAGACGAGCAGGGAGGAGGAGGAGGAGGAGGAGGAGGAGGATGAGGAGGAGAAGGAGGGGAGGAGGAGGAGGAGGAGGAGGAGGAGGCTTGCCCTGGCCCCCCCCCCCCCCCCTCCCCCACCCCAGGAGCTGCAACGTGGGGTCGATCGCCGTCTGGGGCCGCTCCATGGGCGCGGTCGAGCCATCCCGCCGGGGAAGTAGGGGGGAGGAGGAGGAGGAGGAGGAGGAGGAGGAGGAGGAGGAGGAGGAGGAGGAGGAGGTGCAGGAGGAGGAGGAGGAGGAGGAGGAGGAGAAAAATGAGGAGGACGACAACGAGGAGGACGAGGAGGAGGAGCAGGAAGGGAGAAGGAGGAGGACCAGTGTACACCCAAGAAGCATCAACGATGTTGCAAAAGCCTTCCCGCCAAGACCTTTTTATAGGTCCCACAAGAATTAAATTTCAATGCGGAAAGTGAGCCATTGGAAGGTAACCGTCTCAGAATCTTTCATCGTACCAAAATACCAATCTTGAGAATTCAGCGCCGAATCATCGTGACTGTCGCGTCCTGACAGTCCGATTTCGCGCCAGAAGACACTTGATGGGACTTCAACTCCGCGAATCAGCGCGACTGTTGCGTCCTGACAGTCTTGAATCGTGCCAGAGCATCGACCCTGTGATTCCCACCGTACGAACCTTTTGACACCGTTGCAAATGTTTGAGACGATCCGTGGAACTGCTGCAAGCATTGAAGACGAATGCGCGCGGCGCGAGGGGCGAGAGCCACATCTTGCAAAGCACTCCATCCATGACGCTGCTGCATATGTCAAGCTTCAGGATCGAACGTGGTGGGGAAGTCCCAGCGCAACGCCCAGCCCGCCCACCGACACGTCTGCGGTTACGACAGGGAGGAGGTACCGAATGGCCTTCGGTCCATCCCGCCACCGTGCCTGGGTTGTGGGTCATAGGCCTCCAGGATGTTCGTTGGGATGTCGCGGGGGGCCTCTCGGGGGTCTCTTGGGGGCCGTTTTGAGGCTTCTTGGGGGCCGTGTTAGGGCCTCTTGGGACGTTTTCGGGGCCACTTGGGTGTTTCTTGGGGCCTCTTGGGAGCCTCCTGTGGCGGAAGACTCAGATGTTCTCTTATTGTTCCCTTTCTTGGGCCCTTCTTGGGGCTGTCTTTGGGCCCTCTTGGGCCGTTTTGGGTGCCTCCAGGGCCGTCGTGGAGCCCTTTTGGGCCGTCTGGGGGCGCACCTGGGGTCTTTTGCGCTGTCTTGGGGCGGCCCTGGGGACTTCTTGGGCCGTCTTGGAGCGCCGGGAGCTCGAGAAGACGAGGCTCTCCAAGACATTTGAAGAACAACTAGAACATCAATGATGTTGGCCTCTCGGGACCCTCGTGGGAAGGCTCTTGGGGCTCTCCTGGGGCGTCTCGGAGGCCTCTTGGACGGGCGCCGCGGGGCCCTCTTGGACCGTCTCGGGGGGCCTCTTCGGGCCCCCCTTGGCCCATCTTGGGGCCCCCTTGGGCCCCAAAAAGTCACGCGGAGAGGTGCGGGGAAGCCGCGGCAAGCCCTGGGAGATTTGGTAATTTGGGCCCTCGGCCCCCGAAAAATTCCCCAGGAGTGAGGGTTGAGGCTCAGAGGATCAGGGAAAGGACCTGAGGACACGCCCACTCCGTGCCCAGAGGCACGGCGGAAGTTTTATTTATAAGGAGAAGGGATGGAAGAAGAAGAAGAAGAGGAGGAGGAGAAGATGGAGGAGGAAGAGGAGGAGGAGGAGGAGGAGGAGGACAACGACGACGACGAGGAGGATGAGGCGGAGGAGGAAGAGGAGGAGAAGGAGGATGAGAAGGACGAGGAGGACGAGGAGGATGGGGAGAACGATGAGGACGAGGAAGAGGAGGACGACGAGGAGGCGGAGGAGCAGGAGAAATGAGGAAGACAAGGAGGAAGAGGAGAAGGAGGAGAAGGAGGAGAAAGAGCAGAAGGAGGAGGAGAGTAAAGAGCAGGAGGGGGAAGGGGGATGACGAAGAGGAGGGGGAATGGGGGGTAGAAAAAGGGGGAAGATGAGCACGAGATGGCACTACAGCAGATCCACGCTTAATCGATCGTGGGCTCAGCGAACTCTTGCTGACAAAATTACAGTGTCGCCAAATGGGGGAGGTAAAACGGAGAGGACGAGTGCGATAGGGGAGACGTAAGAGGAGGGCCTTTCCTACGTGGCACGGGCATATCGGGCCGAGGTGAGCAGCGCGTTTACAGAGGTGGGCACCCGAGCTGCTCTCTCTCCACCGTGCCCGCTCCCGCAACGCGTGCGTGTCTGCCCAGCGCCCCCCGCTGCACGCACGCCGACTTAGTCGGCGCAGCCACTTCGTCATTCAATCGAACGCCCCCGATGGGGCAGGCACCGCCGCACCACCATCTTTGGAACGCGGAGTTTGTGGGAGGGGTCCAAGACGGCCCGAGAGGGTCCCCAAAGACGTGGAAAATGGTCCAAAGAAAGGCCCCCCGGAGGGCCCCAGGAGGCTCCGAAAACGGCCCGACGGGGCACCCAAAGGCGTTCGTCATCAAATCGCTCCGCTCAATCCGCCGGCCCTCAGAGTGTCGTCGTTCTTTGCCACTGTGATGCGTGGCCGTAGCGATTCGGACATCGTCGGGCGGTGGTAGTTTGTCCGAACTGTTCCGTGGAGCTCGCGCTGCAGAGAATCAGCCGTCCTCTCAGCTGTTGGGGGGAACCTTGCGGCGAAGATTCGGGAGAGGAAGAGGGACAGGACGAGGAGAGGGAAGAGGAGCAGGACGAAGCGGGGAGGGAGGCGCCTTGGGGGGCCTCGTGGGGCCTTCCGCTTGTGCATCCTGAAGGTGAGCATGAGCAGGTGAAAAAATCATGCCCATCCCGCCACCGTGCCTGGGTTGTGGGTCGGACGCCTCCTGGATGCATCTTAGGGTGTCGCGGGATGCCTGCTGGAGGCTTGTTGGAGGGCTCTCGGGTGCCTTCATTGGGGGCCTCGGGGGCCTGCAAGGAGCCGTCGTGGAACCCTCTTGGGGCCTCTTTGGGGCCCCCTGCGGGCATCTTGAGATCCTCTCGGGGGGTTGTGGGGGCCTCTTGGAGGTCTCTTGGGGGTTGCTGGCGGTCTGAGAAGTCGTTTTGGGGCAGAGAGCTCGAAATGTCTGTCCGAGTTCCCCCTCTTGGGCTTCTTTTGGGGGTCTCATATTGGAGGCCTCTTGGGCCGTCTTAGAGTGTTGGAGGTCCTGAAAGGCAAGAACGCTGAAGTCTGTTTAACAATGCGAAGAAAATCCATAAGTGTTGCCTCTCGGTGCCTTCTTTGGGCGCTCTTGAGGCGTTTGGAAGCCTCTGGGGGCCGTCAAGAGGCAAGATTCGGCTTGCTGGGACGCTCTTGATGCGTCTCGGGCCCTTGTTGGTCATGCTGGGGGGCCCTCGGAGCGCTCCTGGAGTGGAGCGCTCTGGGGGGCCTTCCACGCCGTGCCCAGGAGGAAAGCCATCCCTGACCCAGAATGTACTGGAACCTTCGCGGGGTATGTTTTCGTCCAGGGATTCCCAGGAGCCGCCACGCACGCGCAAACGATTATATGTACAGATAGACATACATACATACATACATACATACATACATACATACATACATACGTACATACGTACATACGGACATACATACATACATACATACATACATACATACATACATACATACATACATACATACATACATGGGTGCATGCATACACACATACACTTATATGCAGTCATACATACATACGTACATACATACCTGCACACCCATAAATCACGGGCGTTGGCCTATTCCCCAACCCTTGCGAAAATTGATGTTGGGGTTTTCTTTACGAAGGAAGCCTCACGAAAAGCATTCTTACCAGGGGGCAATTACCACAGGTATCCTTTCTCAGGAATCATCGTCAGTAAGCAGCAGTTCTTGCGAAAGGAAGTAGTAAGGAGTCACTACTGGTCATGGAAACCTCGGGGCCTCTTTCCCGCGCAGATTGCGGTCGTTTTGATGTATCTTATTCCCAAGGTCCCCGTGGGTGTCCGTCCGATTGGCGTGTTTTGTGCCCCATTACCGTGTTTGGGCAAAGGCCAGAAGGCCTATTGCCAACGAGTGGGAGAAGCGGAACGCCCGACCTTATTTTGCTGCGGGAAGCTTCACGGGTGCAGGGGACACCGTAGTGCGTCAGCTGCTTCGAGCCGAGGGTGAAGTTGCTAGAGATCATACGTCATCCAATCTGCTTTGGGAGTTCGTCAAGTACTACGAAACCCTTCCCCCCGGCCAGTTGCAGCAGAGGTGCCACCAGCACGATTTTCCCTTGGCAGTCAGCAGAGTTGCCATAACGGCCTACGTTTCGGCCAGGCATGTGTGTCTCCAGGCGATGATATCCGAAGCTGTTTTCGCTCAGTGTGGGGTTGTAGTTGGCTGCAGTATGGCTACCACTATGATACGTATCAACAGTATGGGCACTCTGGATAAGATCGCCTGGAGTCCGCATGTGGATTTCAAGCTGTACATCGACAATAGTAGTATTGCTACGGTGGGAACCCACCAAGAAGTTGTATCAGGAGTTGTTGAGGGAGCTCTAGCCCTTCAGAGTGCTACCGCAGAGATCGGAGCCACTCTCTCAGCCGACAAGGCCATCCTTATCTGCAGTTCCAAGGCCGTCGGCTTGGAGATCCAGGACTCTCTTGGGATCGAACTTTCAGGACCCCTCGTTAATCCAGGGGTTAACTTGGGAGTTGACGATACCCAGGGGACCTCGTTCAGTCATCAAGGGAAAAAACGCCAGGCCCAAGCGTAGATTGGCCGAGGGAAACGCGAGAAGCCTTCGGCTGGGCAAGTTCGGTCGCATTTTGAGCAGGCAGCGCCTCCGCCGTCTTTGGGTCGCGGGTCCTCTGCCTGTCGCCACGTACGGATCCGAGTGTTATGGGCTCTCCCCCTCGGAAGTTCTCGGGCTCAGACGCAGCTTGGCTCGCCTCATTAAGCCCTCTTGTAGTGGTAGGTCGCTTTCGGCCCTGATGCTCCTGGAAAGCGACCCCACTTGGCAAGTGCAAGTCTCTATCATCAGCAGATGGCATCGTGAGCTTTGGGCCTCCTCTAGTAATATCCACGCCGCCGCGTTCCCGATCCCCTTGCTGCGAAAGTGGCGGGGTAGCGTCTGGGCCCGTCCCCCGCGTACTTG